CTCACATACACACACACTCACACACACACACACACACACACACTCACACACTGAAGATAAAAGTGCAGAGTTTACCATGGAGGCCGTGCCGTGTAGTGGAGTATAGGACGTATTGGTTACTGACCTGGTTAAAGTGCACATAGCACATGTGTGTGTAACCAGTGGCTCAGAAAGCACTGGGACTTAGAGATGCTGGTGGCAGTAAGAGAAATGCAAGTAGAGTTCCAACGCAAGAAAGTGAGTTATGGCCCTTTTCCCTTTGAACAGGGAAGAGAGGCGCCCCAGGAGGAAAGTCTTGATTTAGTCGTGGTGTAAATTAGCTGTGTCCACAGCGGAGCATCTGTTCCAAGCCAGAGAACCATCCGTCCAGCCTGCTACCCTCTGCGACCCCTCGCTCCTGTGGACTGTTCAGAAGGGCTTGGCGTGGGGTCTTTGTTTGCACCAGGGTTTCGTTAGAATATCGGTGCCGGGGATTTTGTGTCTGATGGCAGGTGTGGTCATGCTCTCGTGTGAGGCCCACCCTCCTGTCCCCTGCTGGAGCCGGGCCTGTCCTGCGTGGCCGAGAGCGGCCGGTGGTCTGTCCACACCGGTAGGGTTGCTAGCTCCTGGCTTTGGGTGCGGAGCTTCTCTGGGAGTGATGGGGAGGGTGTGCGGAGGGAGCAGGCGGGAGTGTCTTTCACGCAAACCCTGGATGAGCTTGATAACCAGCCAGAAGCTTCCCTCTTCCTCTTCTACAGAGAAGAGTGAACACGGGGCTCCCTGAGGCCTGCGAGCGACTCCCTCCTTCCTTCCCGTGAGCTCGACGTGGACTCGCTCTCTCTGCTGCTGGCCCTGCTTGGGAGGAGCCTAGCCATGCGGCTGCTGGCCCTGTGCCCTCCTGCCCAGAATGCTGGGAAGGGAAGAGGGGAGGGGAGGAAGCTGCTTTGCTGAAGGGCTGTCCACGCAGGTCACTGTTTCCTCATCCAACATTGAAACTGACTTTGCAGACCTGTCCTGGACGGGTCCTGTGTTGTCAAATGTCTGTGCACTTTGACGTACATTTATATTTCTGGGCGAATTAAGTATTGTCTCCTCATTACGTCGATCACACGATGCGGCAGTTAGCCTAACGACGGGGTCGGACTGATAGCCTTTGAAGCCTCAGAGTTGGCTGACCTTTGGTGACATGGAGAAATCCGTATCGGAAAAGTCTGCCTTAATATTTGAAATAGTGAATGTGCTATTTCATTATCTTTCCATTCCAAATAGACTACATGAAAATATAATACAAGTAAAAGATAATGAAACGGTACATTCTGCAGTCTTCTGTGAACACACACTCAGACAGGGCTCCTAAGAAGGAGACATAGGAATTAGGAAAAGTACCATTTATGTTCTGCCCAAGTCCAACTAGGATGACAGCACATTCGGAATATTGTACTGATTGTGCAGTGTCCTGTTTTCAGTTTTAAAAGTCAGGTCAGAGAGCTGGACGTCCGGAACTGGCTAACTCTCCCACACACCCCTCCCGGTGCTCTGTGGGTCTGTCGGTTCAGCCTCGGGGACCTCTGGGCCTGGCCTGGAGGGCGCGTGAGCGTGCACAGCCCGTCAGGGTGGTGTTCGGGCAGCCAGAGGGACGCCTGTCAGAGCGAAGGAGGTTACTTTCACAAGCAGGAATTTAACTTGTTTTTCAAAGACATAGTTTGACTCTTCACTCGTTCTTGTTCTGCAAAAAATGAAAGCTGTGATTTATCAGTTCTTTTATACGAGTTGGAAACGAACATCGGGGGGTGACTGTAGGCAATTTGGTTGGTGTTTTGCTATTTGGAAGCTAATTGAGAGTTGTGAGAACTGTGAGAAGCTGCAAGGCACGTGGTCCCAACACCCACCACGTCACCATGTTCACGTGTACCTGTGGGCAGTAGATGCAGGGACATTGCTGTGTGGCCATCACCACCACCCCCAGAACTTCCTCTTCGCAAACGGAAACCCCGAGCTCACCAGACCTGTCCTCTCCCCGCTCCTAGCCCCTGGCGCCCACCACCCTACGTTGTCTCTGTACCTGTGACTCCGCTGGTCACTTCATGGAAATGCAGCCACACAGTGTTTGTCTTTGGAGACTGGCTTATTTCACTGAGCAAACATCCTCAAAGCTCATCCAGCTGGTAGCCTGTGTCAAACTTTCCTTCCTTTTAAAAAAATGGAACGTATTGGGTGACATTGGTTAATGACGTTATATAGGGTTCAGGTGGGCAGTTCTCCGACATAGCAGCTGTGTATTTGCATCGTGTTCCTTCCTGCTGAAGGCTGGACAGTGTTCCATTGTGTGTGGACCGCCCGCCTGCTGTGTCTCCATCGTCCCACCATGCACAGGGGGCTGCTCCGCCTCCTGGCTGTTGTGAATAGTAGGGGGTTTACGCGTTTCATCTAAAAGTTCTTTCTGGTCATTACATTGAACGTTCTAATGGGTGAAAGTAAAGCCAGGAGGGAAGGAAGGAGGGGAAATATAATCTATTTTATAATTTTGACTTCTCTGCTGTACATGAGGGCGTGTGGACTTTTACCCCAAGGCACTGATCATCTGGGGGTCTGCCCCAAACTCCCCTTGGCATCTGGCTTCCTCAGTGCGTTGTGATGTGACTGAAGTCAAGAGGAGCAAGCGGGGTGTTTGGACCCTCTTTAACCCTCAGCTTAGCAGTGTGTGAGTGTGTGTGTGTGTGTGTGTGTGTGTGTGTGTGTGTGTGTTTTGTCCTGGGTCTGGCTTTCCTAGTGACTTTCCATTTGACTAGTTTGATCATATTAATTTTAATTTGGGTGAAGGGTCAGTGTTTATGTTTTCAAATCTAAATGCCTTGGGCGGTGCTGAAGGCGTGTTGGCGTGTGGAGAACCTCCTGCAGGGCCTGCGCGTGGCCCGGGCCCGAGCCGTGCAGGTGCCGGTGCTGACGCAGGAAGCACCAGAGGGAGGGCGCCTGCTCCTCCGTGCCATCTGCTCCAGAGCACGCGAGCGCCACGGCACGAACTCCGTGGAGTCCAGTTGAGAGATGTTAGCAGTGAGGTGCCTGTAGCAGTCAGTGTCGTGTAAATGCTGGAAGGTCTGAGGGGTGTGCACACGTCTGACTTGGGGCCCATCTGGGTGGAGAGGGGTTCACTCGGTTTCTCAGGGCGGACGTGCTCCCACGCACACTGGTGGCTCAGCGCGCCGAGGAAGAGCGTCGAACAGCCTTGGGAATAGTTGGACTTGCAAGGTCTGGTCGCAGGTGCACATGTCCCAGTAAACGTGCAGTCAGCGGTGGGAAAGGCCGCTTTGGAAAGCCCGCTTCTTGAGGCCTGCTGTTAGGTGTTGTTGTTGTATTTTTTACGGATTCATTTGATCAGCTATTAGCTGGTAGCTCCCGCTGCCTGAGTGGTAGGCATTGCTCCCTCATGTAGGCTCTTGCACAGGATGGTGGGCGTGGTGGCGGGTCCTCTTCACCGTGTGACTCGGAGGCTTGTGCCTCAGGAGGGCTGTGCCGGACACCTCCTCCCGAGCAGCCCTCCGTCATCGCTGCCTACTCACAGACAGGGCCGGGGCCTAGCAAAGACGATAAAAGGACATTTTTCATTTTTACTTTTTCTGATGTTCAAAGTATTAGCTTTTTTCTTTCTTAGAAAATTATGGGAGTTCATGTTCTGCTGCCCTTTGCAGAGGTGATGGTGCGAGCATATTCACATATATGCCTGCTCTACTGTTATTTGGCTGTTATCTCTCTACTGAGTCTCCTCTTTGTTTTTCCTTTCTTTCTAACTGTTTTATGTTAAACACAAAACTTCTCAGCTACCTGCTGCTTCTTAGGAAATTGCTGTGTGTGAAGCTAATGCAGGTCTCCTTCAGCTGTTACAGCTCCACGTCCTCACCGTTAGGATGGGCGCTCGCCTAGTCTGCCTCTCAGGCCGGTTCACAGGCCAGGCCCCCGAGGACACTCCGTGGGCTCCTGTGAGCTGTGGGCGTTCAGTTTCTCTGACTGGGCAGTTTCTTTGTGTTTTGTTTTGTCACTGTTTTCATTCTCGTGTGTCCTGGATCCTTTTTGAATCTGCAGAATTAACTTGGTGATCATACGTTAAAGCCTAAGAAGTTTGCCATTTAAAATAATTTCAAAATCCTGGCTCATTCTTTTTTAATTGTCTTAAAGCTGTGAGGAGTAAAATTGGTTAAATTTTTTGCGGCATTTACAAAAATTGAGTGGAGTGTCACATTTTATTCTTATTTTCCTTCAGTGCACCCTTGGTGCCAGCATGCACGCCTATGGGGCATTTAGAGAAATGGAAACACGTTCACAGGCAAGTGTGTTTCCCCATCAGCTTTTCTCCTTGGCTGTCCTGTCGATGATGAAAGCTTGTCATTTCCATAACCCGTCTTTCGAGGCTGCCAGGTGTCCTCACGATGGCGAGCTGCTGTGGCGCTGGTGCTCGGACCTCCCACTCTCCTTGTCCGGGTGACACTGATCGATTTGCACAGTTTGGGCTGCATGCTCATTCGTGGTTTGGATAGATGCCATCTGTTTGGAAAATTATTTTGAAATGGTTAAATCCAAGAGGTTACTGTAGCAATGACAAAGAACCCCCTAAATGATTCCACATTAGAATAGAGTAGCATCATTCTGTAAATGTGTTAGTCATGACTCAGTGAGTCATGTGACTTCCCTCCCAGTCACCAGCGCTGAGTCAGGTCGCGTGAAACCACCCCCGCACCCTCCGTGCCCACGACATGCCGTGTTTTAGAAAGAGCTGAGAAACAGCTAAAGGAAGACCAGACAACTGAACTACTCTCGTAACCAGCATCTGGAATCAGGTGTTTGCATTCCTCTCGCCCGTCTGTGTTTCTCGGGGGTTTTGATGTTATGCCCACAGCTGAAACCTGAAACACAACACCCGATTAGAGCAAAGTCCCTGCCCTTCGCTCTCCCAGAGTCAGGCGGGAGCCTCTGCCCGTTCACATGGACGTTACTTTCCCTAAGAGCCCTTTTCCTGTCCATTCGTCAGAGGCGGAGTGGAAACTTCTCATCTGCACATACTTGGCCTCCGTGTGGCTCGCCAGCGGGTGAGTCATAAGCAGTTACGTGCGTGTTTATTTTCAAAGGCCGATGTCAAGCATCACCTGCGAAGAGGCCCATTACATGCCGGTGCCTCCCGCTCACTCCCCAGGAGGAGGCCGCTCTGAGGACCCCCGTGACGCCACCTGTGCGAGCACCTGTCCTCCTGGGTGTGGAAGGGAGCGGCCTTTCCCTCCATGTGAACTGGGCGGTGCAGCTCTTCCCGGAGCCCTGTGCCAGCACGGCGGCCGGCCTCCAGCAGAGCGCAGGTCCCTCTCTGAGAATCTCAACATTATTGGCGTTTCACCTGAATGCAGGCCTGAGCCTGGTCACTTGCGTTTTCTTCTCTTTATGCGGGGATTTTTAACTCATTTAAAACAAGAGTGGTTGGGAAAAAAGCAGGACCAGACCAGGCGCCCAGCACGGCGGCCGGCCTCCAGCAGAGCGCAGGTCCCTCTCTGAGAATCTCAACATTATTGGCGTTTCACCTGAATGCAGGCCTGAGCCTGGTCACTTGCATTTTCTTCTCTTTATGTGGGGATTTTTAACTCATTTAAAACAAGAGTGGCTGGGAAAAAAGCAGGACCAGACCAGGCGTTAGCTTAGCAGTTAAGGTTAGCACTGCTGGCCGCCGGTTACAGAGCAGGCCTTGTGCCGGACCCTGCCTTCGGGGCTCACACCTCCCCCCTGCGGAGCGAGGAGGAGGCCACTCCTCCCAGCACACCCGGAGCTCCTCCCAGGGGCCGGCACCTGCCGGAGTGGCCATCTGGGTGCTGAGTGGCAGCAGCCGCGCGTGTGTGGCTCACACTTGTCTGCCTCTGCGCCCGGCTGTCGGCCCGGAGCACCGCCTCACTCCTCCCGCAAACCTTGACCAGCGTCTTCAGTGGGCGGCACTCGACGCCCTGTCCCGCGTGGGCTCTTTCTTAACGTCCGTTACGGCTGGAAATAGTGTTGCCCTCTGTTCACTGGACGTTCCCTGGAGGCTGTGAGGTGACCTCACAGGCATCTCCGTGCAGGCGGACTCCCAGCATGCACTCTGGTGTGCTGCCCCCGAGATGAGGCCCCAGGTCCCACATGGAGGACAGTCTCTTCTGGGGTCAGAGCTGCTGGTGGAAACTCAGATCACACTCCTTCTGACGAATGCGTGGAAGTCTCATTTCCACGATGGCCCAAGAAGGTGGCTCTAGAAGGAAAGCTGTCAGTCTCGGGAGGCCTGCTTCCCAGCAGCTCCAGAGAGCCAGCCTCCCGGGCTGTGCACGCGCTGTGAAGACTGACGGTGCCGCCTTCGGCTGTGTCCCCTGGGCCCGGGCGGGTCTGTGTCGCTGTCCTCGGCGCAGGGCAGGAGGGGGCGCTCTACAGCCTCTCTGTGGCGAGGCCCATGTCGTGTGCACTGGTTAGTGTGGGGCACGTGGCAGCATGCAGGTGACACCACTGTGAATGAAGGCCATTTCGATGGAAGGCGGTTCATGTACATGTTTTACTGAATTCACGAAAGCTCAGACAGTAGTACCAGAAACACCACACTGAGCTCTTTGACATTGAGAGGGTGCTGATGCCCCCAGAGTCGTCTCCCTGCTGGAGTCCAGCTGCCTGACTTTAAAGAGGAGGAAACTGGGCTCAAGGCCGCGGAGTGACCCATCTGATGCCACCTGGAGAGGGCAGCCCAGAGCCCGGCCCCGCTGTCGGGTCACTTCTCTGTGGAGCTGTGGACCGGACACGGGATGCGATGGGAGGCGGTGGTCGCAGAGAGCAGCAGCCCTGCCTTAGTCCTTTCAGGGCTCGGGACTCACCGTGCGGGACGGTGAGGCAGGGAGTGACTGGGTTGGTGAAGGTCGTGTCTGTGTGCTTAGGAAATGGTTGTCTGTTGCACTGTGAGTCTCTGGCTCCTTGGACACTTGGTAAGAGCAGACTTATTATTTTGATGGTCCTGAAACTTGGTGGAGCCGTTTTTGCAGTTACAGTTCTATTGCTTTATAAAGTCCGAGAGTAAGGAGGGAGGGTCAGTGACCCTGGTTTTCACCAGGAGCATTGGTCACAGAGAGGCCCCTGCGGGGCCAGGGCCATGAGATCCGGGTCTCAGCCCTCACCCTACTTTATGCCCATGGCCTATGTTTTTTTAAAAATACGTTTTTATTGATTTTTAGAGAGAGAAGAAGGGAGAGGGAGAGAGAGAGAAACATTGATGAGAGAGGTCATCGATTGGCTGCCTCTTAAACGAACCTCCACTGGGGATCAAGCCCTCAACCCGGGCATGTGTCCTGACCAGTAATTGAACCGTGACCTCCTGGTTCCTGGGTCCGTGCTCGGTCGCTGAGCCACGCCGGCCGGGCCCATTACCTGTGTTTTAACTTCGCTTTTCTTTGTTCCTTAGAGAGAGGCAGGTTGATGGGAGAGAGGTTGAACGCTAGGAAGTCAGTTGGCTTTTCACTAGCACTTCTTGAAAAGAGTCAGCTGGGGAATATATTGAAATTGAAGACTTAGAATCTAAGGGTTATATGTGTTGCATTTTTTAAGTCAGCTATTGAAATACTTGATGCCACAGCACCTGCTAACAAGTGCCTTCCTGTGTGTGATGACAGCGTCGGACTTCCCGGGTTCAGTGGGGCGTCTGACAGCGGTGCGGGCGGCAGGGAAGGCGTGATGGCCTTGCCCGCTGCATGCAGTGAGCAGCGGTGAAGGCGGAGGGAGGGCTCAGTGCTGCCTCTGTCTGCAGGGGTCCCGCCAGGGAGGGGGCCAGGGGGCGAGTGACTGAAAGCGAAGGAACAGAGTCCCTGGACTGGAGCGAGGAGATGTGCGCAGGGCGTGGCTGTCGTCCGGTCTGTGGTCTGTGGTCTGTGGTGGTCCTGGGAGGCCGCTCAGGCCCTGCTCCTCTGCTGCTCAGCACGGAGGTCTCTGCAGCCAATGGAGTAACAGTGTGTGGCCAGTGCTCCCAGGAGCACCTCCCAACGGCCTCCAGGCCCTGGAAGGACAGTCTGCCATTTCTACGGAATTCTCTCCTCCTCGGAGACTCACTGCCGCCCCATCCTGAAACCCACCGCGTCCCTGAGGAGAAAGCGCTGCCCAAACAAGACGTGAGATCGGCGAAATGGTGGGCTCAGAGCAGAAGTGCGCGGAGGGCGTGGCTAGAGGGCGCCGTGGGCACCAGCTGTTCGAGGTGAATGACTCAGGCCTCGCAGCCCAGTGAACAGGGGAGACACCCGCCCTCCGAGGCTGGAGCCGGACAGCGGGTGCGGGCTTGACAGGTGCCAAGGCGACATCACTGAGAGCCAGCGCCAGGCGGGAGGCCAGCCGAGGCTTCCCCAGGGGCAGACCTGACGGCGGCCAAAGCTGAGGGA